ATTTGTTGGTCTTCCTCTCTCCTCGCCCACTGACCTCCAGCTGCACAAACCTCCTTCCCTTTTGCATCCCCCTCAAATTCCTGCCTTTGACCTTGCTCCTTGCTCACCCAGCAAAGTACACAGTGCTCCCTTTCCATTCTTCTAGGCACAATTCTAGTGCCATTTTTAAAAGGCAAACCACCCCTGGTCTTGGTTGGTAAAAATAACTATCTCTCACATTAATAGTACCATCTTTATACTTTTATACTATTTTTTACTGTCTTAGATTATCCTGTTTCTATACCGGTATTTTTACTTATTTTTCTGTCTCTCCCTTTGACCACCTTATATCCAAGATCAGAAGAGACTTTAGCACATAATAGGCAGTGCTTGTTTATTGAGAAGTTCTGCATGCTGAAGTAACTCCAAAGGATACAAATGTATTTACCAACGATATACTCAAATTGGGCATGGTTATGCATACCTGTAATCCCAGCATTCAGGAGCCTGAGGCATGAGGATCACCATGAGTTTGAAGCCAGTCTGGCCTACTTAGTGAATTCTGAACTATGTAGCCAGAACTTGTCTCAGAAAACTAAAACCAACCCAAAACAAAAAAATGATATAGACAAATATTAATTATTAATTAACCGTATATACATTTACATACATTATCCTAACCATTTTAGAAAACATAGTCTAAAAAAACAAACAAGGAAAGCTAAGAATTGGTTTAAAGATTTAAATGATGCTTGGAACAATGATTAAACAGTCATGCCACTGTATAGATTTTATGTATTTTCCTCAACTCTCTTCTTGCTAGCATGATTTCTAAGAAGAAGCTAATTGTATTTCTTATTCTAGTCTCACAGATAATGTACACTCTGTGGTTTTTTAAAATTTCTCTTTACTTTGTGGTAATCTGAATGTGATATATCCAGGAATAATGTTTTGTTGTTTTATATTTTTTAATTCTTATTTTCCTGGTTCCTGAATCCCTGGTTTGATGTTTTCCAATAAAATTTGAAAGTTCTAGGCTGGGGATGTAGCTCAGTGACACCGTGCCTGCCTTGCAAGTTCAAGGTCCTGAGCTTGATTCCCAGTACCAAAAAAGGAAAATTTAAAGTTCTTAGCCATAATATTACTTCAATTATATTTTGGTTTTTATTTCTTTTCTTTTTTTTTTAATATTCCAAATAAGAGTATGTTGCACTTTTTGAAATTGTCTCACAGTTCTTGGGTGTTCTGCTTATTATTATGATTATTATTTATTTCTCTTTGCATTTCAGTCTGGGAAGTTTTGATTGACCTCTCTTCAAGCTAACTTGATTCTTTTGTTGGCTGTGTCTCACCTGATAATGAGGCCATCAAAGAATTCCTTGATTTTGCTACCAGTGTTTCCAATTCGCAAGGTTTTGAAAATTCTTTCTTGGAACTTCTGTCTCTTGCCCACCTGTTTTTATAGGCCTTCTCTCTCTTTTACTTCTTTGTTAGAACCCTGAATATATTTATCAGTTATTTTAAATTCCTTGCCTGATCATTCTACTTTCTATATCATCTATGTCTGGGTGTGATTTCTTTTTTTTTTCCTCATTGAGTTTATTGGTACCTTTTAGGTATACAGTGCAGTTACATTCATTATTGGGATCTTGTACCTTTACATGACAGGTCTTGGTTCTCATTTTTCCCCTTGTCCCTGCCCTCCCTTCACCTCTCCTCCCTTCCCCTTTACAAACACTTCATTTCCATTTCTTCATTTTCTCATATTTTTCTTTTCCCTTAGTATCTTTTCTGTACCCTTCCCACTTTCCCAGGTCTGAATAAATGCAAAAGAATTGAAGTTATGCCCTGTATATTATCAGATCATAGTGCAATCAAGTTGGAGATCAATAGCATAAGAAACCATAGGAACTTCACAAACACATGGAAATTGAACAACACTCTCCTGAACAATCAAAGGATCACAGAGGAAATTAAAGAAGAAATTAGACAGTTTTTACAAATAAATGAAAATGCCAATACAACATACAGGAATCTATGGGACACAATGAAAGCAGTTCTATGTGGAAAATTCATAGCACTGAATGCCCATACTAGTAAAACAGAGAGAGCTCAAATAAACAACCTAATGATGAATCTTAGACTCCTAGAAAAACAAGAGCAAGAAAAACCCAAAGCTCGAACAAGAGAGGAAATTATAAAGATTAGAGCAGAAATCAGTGCAATGGAAACTAAGAAAACAATATAAAAAATAAATGAATCAAAGAGTCGGTTTTTTGAAAGAATAAATAAAATCGATAAACCCTTAGCTAACCTTATCAAAAAAAAGGAAAGAAAAGGCTCAGATCCATGCAATCAGGAATGAAAAAGGCAAAGTCACAACAGATCCAACAGAAATCCTGAGGCTCATTAATACCTACTTTGAGAACCTGTACTCTAATAAAATGGGTGTGATTTCAATGCTCACCTTTTTTCAGGAGATTGTGGTTTTATGGCTCTTTGGTACACAGTTTATTTATAATTTAGTTAGTTCTGTTTCGTTAAGTCAGCCATGCTATACTCAGTAATAAGAACTGTGACCAATATGCCTTTGTTGTGAGGTCCGCAGTTCACCTAGCTGACAGCCGAGCTGAACTGAATATTTTCTATAGCTGTAGGTGCCAGACACTTCCTATTTTGCTGATATCCTTGATTCTGTTTCTCTACTTGGCTTTTGGCTTCTCCTCTTCAGTAAGGACCTGAGTAACTGGCTCTTTCATCGGTAATCCACTGCCACTAATCAAGGGCCTGGACCGGTCAGAGTGCTGGGAAGGTGGAGGGGAGGAAGCATTCTATAATCTTGTAATTAAATCTCAGATATTTAATTGGGCTATGTCTCTGAGCCATGTCCTTTTAAATGTTTCTCAGTCCGACCCTCCACCAGCTGAGCAAGTTGGAGAGAGCTAGTGTGGGTGGGAGAGGAAGATATGTCCCTCCCTTGGGCTGGCTAAGGTTTGGAGAAGTTCTTCTTCTGGAGAACGCAATATGCCATGGAGGAGGTTCTGGGCTTTGCCTCCTTAGGTAGCTCTTCCCCTTTTTCTGCAGGACCAAGAGGACATGAAAACTCAGCTCTTGGTCATGAGAAACTGGTTGGATCCCTAGAAGTGAAACCCCTGAAGTGTGGGGCATCCTCAGGACTTCGTTCCCACCGAAGACCACATGCAGCTTCCAGAAGTTTCTCAAGGTGTGACATCTGTAGTCCTACAGGTTAAGGCTATAGTAGCTTTTGATCAAGGAAATCTAGGGAAAGAGACTACCGGTATGCATAACAAGATGAATACTCTTGTCGTAGTAATATTTAGAAAAAGAAGCCAGATAGAGATACTTTAGGTAGATACTTTTACTCTATAATTTCCTTTGTAAGATGCATGTTTTGCTAATTTAACAAGGGTGAAGGAATATATGTCACAAATTAAAATCACATTAAACTCAAAGACATGAATATTCACCTTTCGGGAGAACTGGACTGTCTAGAAGACCTGCAGGTGTGCAAGGGAAATAATGGTCTTTAGGACAGAATTAAAAGCCCTTCCTGCTGCATAAGACATATGGCTCTGATGCTGAGCCTTAATTTTGCCCTGTAAACTCCCTGACACTAAGTAGAGAAAACCAGTTCTTATTATTGTCATGTTTATGCTGCTGTTTAAGAAATCCATTCTAGTTTTACTGTTTGCCTCATAGAGCTGGGTGTCCTGGGTATTCTGAGTTGTTGACATCTACACCTTTTTCACTGAAGCTTTTCTCATTCCCTCTTCTTCCTCCTGAGGCTAATGAATAAATCACATCTTGACTAAGCCTGCCTGTGACAGTATACACTTATTGTCGATCTGAAACTATTTTGACATCATTTTAAAGTGAGATTTGAGTTGGAATGTAACACAGACACTAATTTGTACACAAGTCAAGAATATGCAGGAATTATTCTGATCTCTGACCCCTACCTTTGTTGAGTTTTAACTGGGATTTGTCCTATAGTACATGACTTCTGGTAAATTATAATACTTTATGTCTGTCTTGTTCCCTTCTGTATCTTGTAAGTGGAACATGGTTCTTCTGAACATAGTAGCAAGTACTTGTTGATGAGTGTATCAGCAAGTTCATAACTTGGACTGTGTTTTAAAAGTATATGTTTTCAAGCAGGCTGAGCAGAAAGGCAACCAGGTCTTCTCGACTTTTGCAAAAGGATGCAAAAGTGATTGGGTGAGTGGTTATAGAGGGCCTATGTTTGGGGATCTACATATAAGATTAGATTACTGGAGTTTTTGAAGTGTGGTGTGCAGTATTCAGCAGAAGGGAATATAGCCAGACAGGAGGTATAAAACAATGAAGGCAAACATATGATAATAAAATGTTTGCCTGTTTATCTTATGTGAATAGATCATAACAGCCATCAGGAGGGTAAGCAGAAGCTTGTGGGTAAATTCACAATTAGAGCATTCTTGTGGGAGTGTGTTCACTAAGGAAATAGATAAAGTCAGATCACTGCTAATCTTGCCTTTTTGCCATAACTTCCTCCAAGGGATTTGGGGTTTCTCATGTATGTCTGATCAGAAGTCTCTAAACTTCTAAATAGCTTGAGGAACGAAACATGGAGACATCCTTTCATGTCAGATAAGGACATTTGGTTTAGTATCACCTGTCCTAAGCATTAATTCTACAAGCAGTGTAGGATGTTTGTTTCTCTGTTACAAGGAAGTAATAATTAAAAAAACAACTAGATTTTTAATTTCATTTCATTTATTATAGTATGAATCAAATACATTCTTCCCATTGCCAAGCAACATGGAATAGCTTTGTAAACCAAATTTTTATATCAAGCAAAGATAAAAGCAAGATTAGATGTGCAAAGACATCTTGCCTTAAATCAGGCACAGAGAAAACAAGAGAAAAATAGTTGCTGCTAGGAGAGAAGCAAAAGTCCAAGGAGTTTGAATTTTTTTTCTTCCCGGATCTTCAGCATGAATATTCACTGGTCAAAGACTCTAGCGGCTTCCCTGTGCAGAGCAGGATGCGTGGCAAGGGCTGACCACATGGGTCACAGGGCGGCAGCCCGAGGAGAGAGGCTGCACTGGCCTGAGGCCACTGGTCACCACATGAACCGTTTGAGGTCTATAGACCACAGAGCCGGAGGACTGACATCCATAAGGCAGGATGCTCAGAGGTTGGCCAGGGCTGGAAACACAGGGTATGGGGCGATAGCCACTGGACACACAGACTGCAGGCTGGAAAGTAGTGATCATGGGACTCGGTGGACGACAGCTGCTGGACACATAGCTCACAGGTCTATAGGACACTGGGATGCTGGAGCTGGAGATGAAGGTTGAAGCAGGAAGGAAATTGCCTCCGTGGCAGGGCCTGTGACCAGTGGAAGGGCAGCAGGCGGCCCCACCATGGCTGGGCCCACACGTGTCTGGCTGGCAGCTGGTTGACTCCTCACATGGCCCTTGGCAGTAGTCGGTGAACCAGGTGCTGTCTTGACAGCTACTGGGTAAGTACAGGATCTCCCCACCACTTACACTGGCAGAGCAGAGGGCAACAGCAGGGTTGAGAGGAACGTGGCAGGAATTTCTGGGAGATCCTGAGCTGCAGTTTCCAGGGCAGGAGTTGCGGCAAGACATAGTAAGGTTTGGTGAGCAGGCTGCAGCTGAGGGAAAGAAGTGAGTACCTTGAGCTTTGTTCTGACTCTCCCTGGGCTTGTCCCTTTATATATCCCTACAGAGAGGCAGTTCTGTGTACAGTCTCTTCCTCCTCCTCATGTGAGGCTGCATCAGAACTCCTCATTAAAGGTCCCTTACTTCCCATAAAACCAAATGCTTCCTGCAAAGCCTGCCATTGATTAAGTATACCCATCCCTAAACCCATGTGCCTGAATTTTAATAATATGCCTGCTTAAATTAGCTAACCCAAACAGACACTTTGGAGGGCCATGAACCTGCTCTACTCATAGCCAACTTTGTGCAAACATTTTAAAAATTCCTCTTGTAAAATTATCCTTAAAAGGTGCAGTAAACCTCTTCGAACAAGTGGTCAACGAACTCTCTTTGGAGAAATATTCTACTCTTTTTAGAAATTACTCTTGGAAGAGAAACTGTTATATAAAGAGAGTGAACATACTTATGCCCTATGTGTCAGAGTTTAAACTCCTGTAGTGCAGAAAATTTCAGCATTTCATTTCATTACAGAATTTCAGTGAAAATGTACTTTGCATCAAACAACTTTATTCAGAAAATTTCCTCTTATTTTATTCATCTACTCCTAAACAGAAGGAAGTTGAACCTTGGTTTTGGACTACAATTTTTTTAAATTTAAGAAAATAAAATTAAGCTTAGTTAATATAGTTAATATAGATTTTGATGTGAACCAAAACAAATAAATATATCCATTTAAAATTGGACAACATGGCATTTTACATGATTATTGCAGATTTATGAATATAACAGAAGCAACCTTTTTTCTTTTTCTTTTTTTTCCTTTGTGCAGTACTCAGTATTGAAGATCTGTAGCTCTTTTTGCTTTTTATTTTGATAAAAAGTCTCACTAAGTTTCTTAGTGGCCCAGGCTCAGCTCACACATTCTTGGGGTCCTCCTGGGGCAGCCTCAGAAAATACTGAGATTACAGGCAGGTGTGTGCCACTACATCTGGCCAAAATTATTATTCTTGAACTCATTAACAAAATAGAATTCACTGATTAAGATAATGCTGTATTTTGTTTCCTACATTGACTCTGATGTCAGTTTCCAAAGGAAATTTCTGGACTGCTTTACATAGGCAGTAGCACTATACAGTTCTTCTAACTGCCAGTACTTTGAGTGCCCTTTGGGAATTTGTACTTATATAAAAATTGCTTTAACAGTGTTTGATTTTGCTTCATTTCAGCTGATCCACTGTTTTCCCACACTGACATGTCCAGTGACTCCAATGGCTATTTTAATGGGAATTTAAATTATCTGCTGAATCTAAATTCCATTTCCCTTCGGCTAAAAATTCAATTTAAATCACAACACTTTCTTCTATTTTAATGTTCAATGGACACAGCCACACTCATCAAGATTCCCCATCTAGAGAACAAAAAATCTGAAGAAAAAGATTGGTTTCTCTATGAGGCAATACGTATTTTACCACCAAGGGTAGAATTACGAAAGTAAAATGATGTGTTCTCCAAGGTCCTACACTGACATGCTGAAATCATGTCTGTATTTTAGGTCAGAAGCCATTCCTCTCTGACGACTTGTACTGGATGAGACTGGGGAGCCCTAGCACCCCCAACCCACCCCAGGGCCTCATGCTGGGTGCTCTGCACACAGCTGCCAGAGTCCTCTTGTGCAATCCTGGATGCATCAGCTGCATAGCTTGGGTAATAGGTACAGCCATACCCAGTGGAACATTTACCCAATTTATGTGTTGGCACTCTTTACGTCTGCCCTTCTGTAACACAGGGAAGAGCCCAACACCTGCATCATGAGCACATTAGTATAGAGTGCACGGTACTACAGGCTCTCTGCACACACTGTATAAACAGGAATATTTTTCCCTGAAGAGAAGGTGTGGGATAAGAGGAAGTAAGCTATCATTTGGTGTCTGTTCTCTGATATACATTGTTGTATCAGTGCTACATAAGAAATGCCACTGGTGTCTTTCTGTCTTTCTTTTCTTTTTTTTTTTTTTTTTTTTTTTTTTTTTTTTTATTTTTTTTTTTTTTTTTTTTGGTACCAGGGATCGAACTCAGGACCATGCACTTGTGAGGCAGGCAGTGGAACCACTGAGTTAAATCCCCAGCACCTTGATTCTTATAATTCTGGGCAGCAAATTTTACTATTTCAAGGATTCATATGAGAAAACTGGAAATTTAAAACTTCACCAATAGCAGATATAAACAAAAATATTTGAACAATGACTCTTTGTTCTACCCTTTCAGTTTGCAGGTTCATGTCTCCAGTGATACTCTATCCATCTTTTCTTTCTTTTTAAAAATATTTTGTGGCATCTCCTTTTATCCGTGTTTATCCTACTCTTCCTGTTCCGAGGAGTAATTTTAACTATTATTCAGATATTAAACTAAGCAGCTCCTCCTTTGTATGCACTTTGCAAACCATCCCTGCCAACCTAAATTTGTCCAGTATTTAAATGTGTATAATTTCCATACCCTATAATAGCTTGTCTCACAAGTGCTCTCCCTCTCTCTCTCTCTCTCTCTGTCTCTCTCTCTCTCTCTCTCTCTCTCTCTCTCTCTCTCTGTCCCCCCCTCCTATTCTCTGGAAGGATCCAAAGATCTTCTATCATAAATCCCAAATATATTATATCTAAACTACTTTTACCTTTTATCCAGTCTCCAGTTGATGGGCAATTGGGCTGTTTCCAAGTTTTAGCTATTTGATGTCAGCTTTTTGACATGAAATCTATTTTTTCTTATGTGAACATAAATGCCCCTCTTTAATTTGGTTGTCATTTGCCTTGAAATACATGATTCCTTCCCATCAGTTTTAGCCTAAAAGAAATCTTAAAATTACCATGAATCTTTTATAGGCACTACATAGTTGGATCCTGTATTTTTAAAAACAAGTTTTTGAGCTCCTTAGTGTCTTTTGATTGGATAATTTAACCCAATTTACATTAATTATTAATAAAGACTTACTAACGTTATTTTGGTTTTTTGCTTTCTGCCTTTTTTTTGTGGTTTCATTGGTTACTTAATTCTCTCTTGCTGTCTTCCTTTACAACTTGATGATAAAATTTTTGTAGTAGTATGCTTTGATTTCCCTTCTTCCTGTAGTCTTCAAAAAATTTATTTTTCTTGGTCATCACCATGAAATTTACATTTAAAATAGTCTAGAGAATTTTAAAATTTCAATATTCAGTCCTAGGACTTTTAATTAATAATTTTAGTGGCTTCCATTTATTTATCCAATGTCATATTTTGTTTGTGTAGCATTTTTCTGATTTTATTTAGCTATAATTGTTGTCTTATAGCTCACTGACTTTTTCCATTAAGTTTATTGTTATATTTTAGGTATACAATACAGTTAAATTCATCATTGAGATCTTGTACATTTACATGATGTATCTTGGTTCTTATTTTTCCCCATTCCCCTGACCTCCCTTCACCCCCTCTCCCCTCCCCTATTTACAAAACCTCTGTTCCACTTTTTCCTTTTCTTGTATTTTTTCTTCTCCCTTCTTCATTTTTCCCTACCCCTCCCACTACCCATACTCCTTTTGACCCTTTCTTCCTATTTCACATTATCAGTTATACATTTCAATCCTTATTTACACTTTTAGTTTTTCATACCAGAGAAACTACTTCATATTTACATATGTGTGTCCTATTTATTTCACTTAAGAATGTGGTCTCATTGTGCATCCATTTAGCTATAAATGTCTCTAGTTTTTAATTCTTTATGGCTCAATAGTACTCCATTTTATTAAAAAACACACACACGTATTTTCTTTATCCTGCCTCCACTTCATGGGCAACTGTGCTGTTTCCAAGTTATAGCTACTACAAACTGTGCCACTATAAGATTGGGCATCACTGTGGTATGATTCTTTTAAATCTTTTGGCAAGATACCCATCAGAGGAATACCTGAGTCAAATGGGACCTCTAATCCTGTTTTTTTGAGGTGTCTCCATATTGAATTCCTTAGAGGTTGCACCAGTCTGCACTCATGCCAACAATGGAGAAAGGTTCTGTTCTCCCCACAACCCTGCCAGCATTTGTTATTGATTAATTTCATGACAGCTGATATTCTTTCTGGGCTGAGGTAAGATCTCAAAGTTGTTTTCATCTGTATCACTTGAATGACTGGTGATGTTGAATGTCTTTTTGTGTGTTTTTTTGCTGCTTTTATATCTTTGCCTGAGAAATGTGTGTTCATTTCAAATGCCCATTTTTAAATTGGGTCTTTATATTTCAGGGGTGTGATATTTTTAAGTTCTTATATATTCTAGATAGCAGTCCTTTGTCTGAGGAACAGCTGATAATTTTTTTCCATATTGTACATTGTCTCTTAGCTCTGTTGCTGGATTCTCTTGCAGTGCAAAAGCTTTTTAATAAGATGAGATTCCAGTTGTTAATTATTTGTGCTAGTTCCCATGCTACTGAGGATTTGTTCATAAAGTCTTTTCCTATGCCAATATCTTCAAGAATTCTACCTAACTTATCTTGTATCAAGTTTTGTGTTTCTGTTTTAATATTTAGATCTTTAATCCACTTCAATTTTAGTTTATTACATGGTATAAAAAAGAGGGGTCTAGTTTTTATATTTGGCAGGTAGAAATCGAGTTTTTCCAACACCATTTATTAAAGAGGCTATCTTTCCTCCAGTGAGGATGTTTGGTTCCTTGTCAAACATGAGGTGGCAGAATGTTTGGAGTTATTTCTGTATCTTCTAATCTATTCCACTTATCATTGGGTCTGTTTCTTTGCTAGTATGGTTGTTTTTATTACAGTGGCTTTGAAATAGTTTCAACTTGTGAATTGTGATACCCTCTGTCATGTTCCTGTTTCCTTGAATTGTTTTTGCTATTCTGGGTCTCTTTTGGTTCCAAGTGAAGTTTTGTATTGTTTTCTCAAATTTTGTGAAATATACTGTTGGGATTTTAATTGGGATTGCATTGAA